GGAGCTCTTTGTTCTCTTTTCACCAAGCTTCCTGCAGCTTGAAACTGTTTCAGAGTAGAAGTTTGCCAGGTGTGGTGGGGCACGCCTGTAATCCCAGCTACTTGGGAGGCTGAGGCAGGAGGACTGCAAGTTGGAGGCCAGCCTTAGCAACTCAGTGAGGTCCTAAGCAACTTAGCAAGACCCTAACTCAAAATGGGGTGGGATGTGGCTCAATGGTTAAGTGTTCCTGGGCTCAATGCCCAGTATCCCCCCCCACCAAAAAAAAGGAAAAAGAGATTTTCTATAGACCCTAAGATCCAGGGGACCTAGATGCAACAATCAGATTTTCTCTTACCTATCGGAGAGGCTTTTGTTATTTCCGTGACCTCTCCCCTGGTGGCCCTTCTGTAAAATAAAGAAGGCCACCTCTCCGCACTGCTAAAGCATTCTGAATTTTATGAATGAAACTCAGCTCGTTCAGAAAGGAAGGAGGGAAACGAAGCTACTGAACTCAGTTTTGCGGTATATTTTGTCTTATCCCAATGTATCAAAGTGACCGTATCAGCAGTCCTCACTGTGGGGGGCGCCCTGCACCATGTCGCAGACTCAAGACCCTCTCGGCTGGTACTGGCCGTTTCCAGGGCTGATGCCCCCTGGGGCAAGTGCCCCTCGTATCTGGCAGCACAAGTGCCCAGGCTGGTTCCCTGGGCTCCTCCACGCCCTGCCTGGGCTGCAAGGCCACCAGCCTCTTCCCTGCCCTGTCCAGGCCACCTTTCCCCACCAGAGGCTGGAGGTCCCCGCTCCTCGCTGCTCCCTCAAGTCGGCCTGCACCTTCCTTCCTCCCCGACGGAGGCCAGAAGCCTTTGAACTCCAGGGCCAACCCTCGGGCTCTCTGCTCTGCTTCTTACCGCCTCTCCTGGTCCCCGCAGCGAGGAGGGCAGGAGGCCGAGTGGGCTGGCTGGGTCAGGAGCCCTGGAAGGACATCAACCAGTGCCTCAAAACAGTCCCCCACTGTCACAAGTCGTTGCTTTGATCTGGGGTCTTTGTGTGCGTGTCCATCCACTGAGCAGTCGACCCCTGTCTGATGACACGTGGCGTCACCGTGATCATTTAAGTCCCCGTATAGAACTAAGTGCAATACAGGTCCAGGACAGGCAGGAGCTGCGGGGCTGACCGTCCAGCACTCCAGCAGACGGAGCCCCGTGGCCCAGCCCTCATCCTCCGTTCTCTGTGGGTCTGTCTGTCTGATCCTGGGCCGGTCCCCCACACCATCTTAATTACTGTGGCTTCATGGTGTGTCTTAACATCGAGCACGACAAGTCCTTTGCTTTACTCCTTTGAAAGGATGGATTAGTATTCATACGCCTTTATCCAGCTATATGAATTTTAAAGTAAGTTTTAGGTCCACCTCCCCAAAAAAAGTGGCTGGAGTTTTTATTGGGATGGCATTGAATGTACTGATCAATTTGGGAGAATTACGTCTCTCTGACATGAAGTCATCCAGAGTCAGAGTCTAAATACCTCTTCGTGTGTGCAGGTTGTCCTCCGGGACTTTATTAGATTTTTATTGTCCCACACATTTATCAAGACCTTGTGTCCCCTTGTCATAAGTTAGTGAGCTACTTCTACAGGTGGAGGGTGACGAGCAGGTGGGATTCAGACTAGGGTCTGCAACATCCATCCAAAGACAGTGCAGCCTCTCGGGCCCTTGGACTCTGTCCTTCAGCTCTACCTGACCATGGCCAAAGTGTCTGTGTATTTTATTGCACATTCAAGTAAAGGAAGGTGACGGAATGTTCCCCAGCATTAACAGGAGTACGGCAAACAATGTCTGAGATTGCTGTGACGTGAGGACCCCGGGGCACAGGAAGGCTGGGGGAGGGGAGAAGGGGATCCATGTGGTGCAGGGAGCACGTGTGGGCAGGCCACCTCTATGTGTGCAGCTGTGTCTCCGCAAAGTGACTGAATGCTGTCATAGGCCACACAGCCGCATCCTGGTCCATTACGGGCCACTGGTCCCACAGTGCTCCTAAAAGATTACGACGGAGCCGGAAAGTCCCCACCCCCTAGAGACAGCACAGGTGTCAGAGGTAGTGGCACAGCACTGGACTGGTGTTTGTGGTGACGCTGGCGCTACCGAGCCTGCTGTATGGAAGTAGCTACAACAGGTGGCCATGCACAGCCTAGGTGCTTGAGAGTGGTGACACGTGGCGTGGGCTGCTGTAGGCGTGTGCCCTGCATCTTGTCACCTTCTACTTATAAAGAACCCTAGCGTTGGCTGTGGGCGAATACGCCACCCCGTGCGGGCAGCAGCCTCACACGGCTCCAGAGAACCGTGAGCCACAGGAGCAGCAGGCGACACCATATCTGGGACACCATATCTCATCACACAGTGCAGCCGCTGTGCCAGTTCGGTCTGTGTGAGCGTCCATGACTGTTCAGACGGAAGTGGTGGCCTCAGGACGTGTCCGCCCTGTTAAGTGACGCAGGACGGTAGCTGCTGTGGCCTGCATGTCCTCGCCACGCTCATGTTGGAAGGGAGAAAACCCAGGAAAACCCGCCTCTCAAGATCCAGTTGCCATTGCAGGCGCGAAGTCCTTTTTGCCTTATAAAATGTGCCCACAGGTTCCAGGGAGTACGGCAGGGGCATCCCTGGGGCTCCTTGTGCTGTCAACTGCAATAGCACCCGGGGACCCTTGGCCCGCAGCCCAGGTGGGTCAGGACACTCCAAATCCCATCCTCTTGGGGTCCCTGCTAGTGTGGTGTGAAGACATCCCTCCTGCTGGGCGCCGTGGCCACACCTGGGATCCCAGAGGCTCGGGAGGCTGGGGCAGGAGGATGGTGAGTTCAAAGCCAGCCTCAGCAATGGCGAGGCACTAAGCAACTCAGTGAGACCCTGTGTCTAAATAAAATAAAGAATAGGGCTGGGGATGTGGCTCAGAGGTTGAGTGCCCCTGAGTTCAATCCCCAGCACCCCCTCCCCCCAAAAAAAACACATCCTTCTGACAATCTCAAATGAGCAGAAGAGAAAGGCTTTGTAAAGAAGAGTTTCGGGGACTGACAAGGGACAGCAGAGGGGATGCATGTGCCACGGGAAGCGTGGGGCCCAGGAGCACCAGAGGGCAGAGGAAGGCAAGGACCTTCAAAGGTAAAATGATGGAGGTGACAGTGCAGGACCATCCTCCTGGGCTGCAGGGGCCAAGGCTAGCAGGCGGCACGCAGCGTGGGCTGGCCAGCAGGTCCTGGGCGGACGTCATCGGCCCCTGCAGGGGTGGCCTTGGGCAGGTTGTGGTTCTGTGTGCAAGGCTGTCGTGACTTTTATGCAAGTTGTGGTTTGGCAGAGTCTCTTCTGATCTCTCTCATTACCAGGCAAATATATGTGGGGACCCCTTCAGGGAGGCCTGGTGTGAACGACCCCACCAGACTGCTGTCGGAATTTACCCCCGTTGTGCAGACCAGGTGGGACTTAGAAGAGGTGATCCATGGGCTAAACAGGCTGCCTCAAGAATGGGTCTCAGCCGGGCTTGGTGGCTGAGGCAGGAGAATCGTGAGTTCAAAGCCAGCCTCAGCAATGGCGAGACACTGAGCAACTCAGTGAGACCCTGTCTCTAAATAAAATATAAAATAGGGCTGGGGATGGGGCTCAGTGGTCAAGTGCCCCTGAGTTCAATCCCCAGTACCGAGAGAGAGAGAGAGAGAGAGAGAGAGAGAGAGAGAGAGAGAGAGAGAATGGGTCTCTTGCCCAGAGCAGTGGTGCATGCCTGTAATGCCAGCAGCTCAGGAGGCTGAGGCAGGAGGATCACAAGTTCAAGGTCAGCCTCAGCAATTTAGTGAGGCCCTAAGCAACTTAGCAAGACCCTGTGGGGATGTGGCTGGTGAATAAGCACTCCTGGGTTCAATCCCTGGTACAAATAAAAGAATGGGGCTCTAAAAAAAAAAAAAAAAAGACTTATCTCTGGGAAAGCCCAGCCAAACCTATGGTTCCTCGCTGCCTAAGATGGCAGTCCCTCTCCCTATGTGATGCCATGGCTGTGTGACCTCCAGACTCTGCAGAGAGCCCCCTACCTGTAAGGCCTTCACCAAATGCAGCTACTCAGCTCTGAATTTTCCAGCTTTCAGAATCTTGAGCCAGGTAAACCTTTTTTCTGTAAATTTCTCAGTCTCGGGTATTCTGTCATAGCAACAGAAAACAGACTGGGACAATGGCCTCTGGACTCCCTTGTATTAGAGTCTGACTTAAGTGACTTCATTTTGATTCTGACAGCTTTTGAAAGGAAAGTGACCACAAAACTCGGAGCAACCAAGAGATCGTTATTGCAGCAGTGCAAAAGAGGAGAAGAGAGAGGGAGAGAGAGGGGGGAAGAGCAGAGAGAGAGGGGAGGGAGAGCAAAGTGAGAGAGAGAGAGAAGAGGAGAGGAGAGAGGGAGAGCGAAGGCAAGAGAGAGGGGCCGGCAGGAGGGAGATTTTATAGCCCAAGTCTAATGGGGCCTCTGGGTCTGCAAGCTGCCTTGTTGGGTACAGTGATTGGGTCATGCCGTAGTGTCATCTTCTGCCTTCAGCAGAGGGGGCAGGGGTCAGTCAGTGTGGGTTTCCGTTGCACCAGAGGGTGGGGGTCGATGCTCAGCCTGGAGTGGGGTTGAGTGTCCAGACTTGATGCAAACAGGTGGTACAGGACCAGACGGAGGGGGGCTGGTGCGGGGGTTACCCTGCAGCTTTCACACTCCTCTTTCTCCCTGAGACTTCCTGCGGCCACACACACACACACACACACACACAGCACCCAAGGACAAGCAGTAATTCGTAGAGATGGCACCACCAGAATTCACAACTGGGCACAGATTTCCTGACCCAAGTGGGGCAGGTGCTTCTCCTGGGGAAGCTGAACAAACAGCTGCTCCACGTGGTCCTTTGGCTGCTTGGCTCCAGCCCAGAGGACAGAGGAGCAGGCACCTCGGCCTCCTGCGGCCTTCACTGACTGCTGCAGTCCGGCTGGGCAAAATAACCGGGAGGTGACAAGCAACTTGAAGGTTGAAGTGGGAACTACTTTATTTCAGGGAAACTCAGCGGGAACTCAAGGTAGCGGGTACCTAAGGTAGTGGGAGCCGCTTTATTGCGGGACAGCAGAGGTATATATACCCAACTGATTACACACAGCTTGACTCAATTAGCATCATCCAGATACAGCAATCAGCCAATAAGGAATCCCCACCATCTTAATGGCTCGGTGGTGTTGCCTCACAAACCACTCCTTCTGACAAACTGCCAGGCGCCATCTTGACTTGATTTGCGGTCCCCAACATCTCCCCCCTTTTGTTTAATTAAACAACAAGTATGTGGTTTAGGGACCGTGCCTATTTTAGGTTGTCCAATACTACATATGGTCCTTACCCGTCATTGGATGGTCTGACCTCAAATCGTCAGCCTCCTGGCTTAGGTTGGTACCATTGTGATATATTTAACAACCCCTCCTTAAAGAACCATGGGCTATTTTTTTGTATTGTATCAACGGATGCCCTAACTGTTCTTGGTTTTACTGGGGCGCCTCCTTCCTTTAGCAATTTACTTAACATCCTCTTGGTTTGGTTCTTACTAACTTCTGATCCCATATTTCTGTAACAAAACTAACACAACCCACTAAGATAACACAAAACAAAACCGAAACAAAATGAAACAAAAACGGAACAAAAACACATTGCATCAATTTTTCTATTTTCTTGAAATGTCCATCCGTTCTCTCTCCCTATCTGTTCCTCAGGGGTGATCAGCTTTTCTCCCGTCCTATTTATTTCTAGGGACAGGCAGCTTAAAAATGAAAGAAAAACGAAACAAGAACACACTGTTTCTTGAAATGGTCACCCACCCTCAGGGACAAGCAGTTTACCTTGTCACTTACCCCCAAGCGTCCTGGAGCTCCCCATACGGGCCACCATACTTCAGCCCTGGCCTCTGTGGCTTAAGTTTCAACTCCCTCTCGCCTTTCCCTGGGCCTGATGAGTGCTGAGCTGGCATCGTCCCTTCCCGTCCCTGGGAGTGGGGACACCTGCCTGCAGAGGCCTTCCTCCCCTGTCCAGCCCCCAGCGGGAGGTGAGTGAAGAAGGCCACTTCCTCATCCTTCCAAGGCTGAGACTTCACCTGGGGTGGGGGCTGTGTCACACATGTCCCCAGGGCCCCGCCTACCAGTCGGCATAGAGCAGACTGTCCACAAATGCTCTGGGATGAAATCGTGGCAGCTGCCCTCTGTCTGTCCAGGCCATGGAGAGACGGTGAGGTGGATGAGGAAATAGAGGAGGGGACATGGGGACCATGGCTTTGGGGGCTGTGCTTGGCTGTAGGGTGGGGGGCCTGGGATTTCCCCAGAGATGAGTGCCCTCCAGGGAGCAGGGGCCTCCCTCCTCCCACTCCCACTTTACAGCCCAAGTGTGGTCACCCAGGGGCTCTGAACTTGTACCTGCCCTTTTTGGGGCCCAGTCCCCTGTTAATTTGGCCATGGCTTCCCCACCTCTCCTCAGGGGAACGGGTCCCGTCTGCAGAGCCAGCGCCCACGGCTGTGCGCCCCACACCTGCTGGCTCAGGCCGAGCCCGGGACAGGGCAAGGGCGTCCCAGGGCTCTGCGAGGGGCACCACAGGGCCGTGCTGACCCCAACCCCTTCCCCAGCCCAGCAAGACTGGCTGTGGCCGCTTGTGCACCTGCCTCTGTGTGTGTGTGTGTGTGTGTGTGTGTCCCCTTCTGCAGCTCAGAGCATTAGTCTAAGAAGGGATAGTGTCTGGGATGGCTCAGGCGCACTCACAAGCCACTCAAAATCTAAAGCCAACGCCATGGGAGCAGCCCGGGGACCCCAGCCCTTGAAGAGTCCTCGGGAAGCAGAAGGTGCACCCGGAAGACAGCTGGCCAAGGTGCCATCTGGCGGTCATGTCAGCTTCACGCCCGGGTGAGGCAGGACAGCCCTTGCTCTCCACTGTCACTTGCTGGAGGCAGAAAATGAACCTCAGGAAAGAGCTGCAGGAAAGTCACCGAGGAGTCACACAGACCGGGTAAAGGTGGGCCCTCAGGCTGTGCCCCGCCCAGTTACCTTCCTTACGAATCTCCCCAGAAAGAAGACCCTGCTGTGGTCCCAGCAGTGGGCGCCTCGCAGGGTGTCCCAAGCCCTCCGTCCTCAGAGCTCCTCGGTGCCAGCCTGGGCCCAAAGCCAGGACAACCTTGAGATGGCATTGCAGGCAGGTGCCTGGCATCATTTAAGTGACTTTTTTTCTTGTCCCCCTTTCTGAGGCGGGGGACTTTATTTCTCTGCCTTGTGTTGACAGTAGAGTCCAGGGAACCTGCCGTCATCAGCTCTTCTCTTCCGGCTGTTCCTTAGGTGTGGGATGGGAAGGGAGGGGACGTTCCGTGGCCTCTCTGGCCCCTGCGCAGGCCCCAGCACTGCCCGCCTTCTCCTGGCTCCTCTGGCCAGCCCACCTCCTGCCCGCTGTCCCGACCTGGCTGTGGAGCCCTGGTTTACAAGGCGGGTGGCAGGCACCATCCTATGTGAGCCGCGTCACTTCCTGGAGCCACAGGGGACCAGGAGCTGCATCCTCCACACACAGGGGCGGAATGAAGCAGAGGAAGAGAGGACAGAGACCGGGGGCTTCCCTCTGGTCCCTGAGGACCCCATTCCTGTTTGTCCTCCGTGGAGCCAGCTGGGCTGATGGCTTGGGGAGGACAAGCCACAGGGAGCTTGGCTGCCTGGCGGTCCCCATGGAGGGCAGAGGGCTGTGGGCACAGGGGGTGCCTTAGCCCTCCTTAGCCCTGGGCTTCCTGATCACGCTGTACTCTGGGACCTCCTCGGGGGGCCTCTGGGAGGGAGCCCCGCTGGCGCTGGAGTCTGGCCTCGGAGAATCGAACACCACGGAGCTGTAGTGAGGCTCCTCCCGGGGAAAGGCCTGCAGAGAGAGCCCAGCTCAGGAGGCGGGGGGACACCTGAGGGCCCCGGGAGGCTCCCCTGGGGAGGCCTCCGCTGTCCTGGCCTCCTTTTCCCTCCAGAGCTGATGGCAGGATCCTGCCCACCCACCCCTCCACCCCACCTGCTCATGCCAAGCACGAAATCCCTGGACCCAAGAGTCGGGGACCCTCAGTGCTGACCCTGTGTGTCCATTCATTCTACAAAAATGACACTGAGGGCCGGGTGGTGGCTCAGTGGCAGAGCGCTCGCCTGGCATGTGTGAGGCACTGGGTTCGAGTCTCAGCCCCGCCTATAACTAAGTAAACTAAATAAAGGTTCATCGACAACTAAAAAAATATAAAAAATAAAAATAAAAAGACCCTGAGGCCCTGAGAGGGTTGCACACTTGGTGGGCTCCCCTGAGATGCCCCTGGCTCCCTTTGATGGGACATCCTGGCCACGGTGCAGGGATGGTCCCTTTCTGAGGACTCAGGAATCTCACATGCAGAACCCTGGCCCCTAGTAGAGCCTGGCAGGCTCCCCAGATCTACCCTGAGCTTGTTGTGCAGGGCAAGGTCCTGACTTGTCCCCACGCAGTTGGCAGAAGAGTGAGGCTCTGCCCCCGGCCAGCTGAGACCATTAGTCACCACGTGGGACAAGCGAGGCTGCGGCTAGTCTCAGACCCAGCCTGTGGCCGCGTGGGCATGCGAATGTCAGGTGAGGAGGAGACAGGCCTGATGCAGGGTAACTAGGTACTGCCAGCTGCTCAGAGGCCCCAGCCACGCCCCCCATGACAGCTGACGCAGGGCAGGGCGGGCACGACTGGGGGCAGGAGGGGACAGCAGAGCAGCCCCATTCCCCTGCAGGTGACAGGTCCCAGGCTGGACACAGAGCTGGGCCCCTTTCCCAGAGCAGACCAGCGGCGGTGCCAACCAATGAACCCTGGGCTGGGGCTCCGAGGTCTCCCCAGGCAGCCCCTGGCTGATGCTCAGATCTCCCCCCAGTCTCTGCCTGAAGTCCCCCACCAGCGGGTGGGTCACACCCTGAGGAGGCCACCCATTCCGTTTATCCCACTCCGTTGGTGACAGTGCCTAAGGGTCCTGGACAAAGTGAATCCAAGAGATGACCAGGACCAACCCAGAGAGAGGTCATGAGCTTTGTCACTGGCTGTGTGGTATGCAGTAGGAGCTTAATAAACGCTGCACCTTATTGACTGTCACGGCCATCGTCACTGGCCACCGTCACTGGCCATCATCGTAGCCCTTCCACACCCTGCCCAGCCACCCGGACACCAGCCTCCTCTAAGGGCAAATTCTGCACCTGCCCCTCCCCAGCCTCCTTCCCTCTCTGCCCACGCCCACCCCATGTGGGGCAGCCCAGGGTCCCCTGCCAGGGGCCAGGACCTGGCTTACCAACATGCTGTACTCCACCTCCGCCTGCCTCGGGGGCACTGGCTCTTCCCGCAGGGACCACGTCTGCAGCGTCAGATTTGTGTAGTAGGGCTCACTCTGCCCGGCAGCCTGCGGGGCCAGGAGGAGGTGTCCACGGGCCTCCCCACCACGGCTCTGTCCTTCTTTCGCCCAGGTTCCAGGTGGGGGCCCCAAACTTCCCTGGGTCTGCTCTTTCCTGCACCCTCCCGTCGGGGCAGTGAGCGCCCCCCTGGGGAACGTTCCTCCCCCTGCCACTCAGGGGACAGGCCCAAACTGGGGAAGACATGGATGACTATATCTCAGGAGACACTCTTCCCTATCTGGACCCATCCATCTGTGGCCCAGGGACCATCCGGCTGCAGCCCCAACGTCCCCCACGCTGCCCCTGCCCAGCCACCCGGATGCACCTCCTGTGGTGGCCTTCCTTACCTGCCTGAGGTTCTGGGACAGTTCTGAGCGCTCACCAGCTGACACAGGGAGAGAGAGCAGGGGGACCCATGTGAGCCAGGCTGGGGACCCTGGAGAAGCCCTAGGCTCCTCTCCCCTCAGACCTGGAGCTGGCGGGAAGCAGCGTGGCTGGAGGAATAATTGGGTCCCCGGGCATGCAGGGAGGAGGAGTGACAGCCGCCAAGCGGGCAGCGGACACGGCCCAGCTGGAGGAGAGGCGCAGGGCTAGTTCCCAACACAGCCGCTCACCAGGCATCACGGGGTAGACAGGCAGGAGGGGCAGGGTGTGCACCAGGGACCTGCCCAGACTGCGCCAGACCCCGAGAGGTCGCTGGGGGGAGGCGCCAACCCCAGGCCTGGGCCCTCCCTGCGGCTGGGGGAGGCCTGGAAGCCTGCGGGGGCAGCTCAGGCCGGTCCCACCCTGGCTCTGGCTCCTGCCACGTTGCTGTAGGGTCCTGCCTTTGAGTGCAGCCACATACACCCTGACTTCTCAATCCCAGCCTGGGGGCTGGCCGGCAGTAGGTGACACAGGGTCTAGTCCACAGCCAGGCCACCAGAGCCACTGCCTGCATGCTGCAGAGACACAGCAGGGAGCACCGGGTCACAGGGCAGCAGCCAGACCTTGGGAGACACAAGTCCACAAGACAGTAGCATGCGCCAAGTCCTCAGGGGAACTGAGAGCAGCAACTGGGCGCTGGGGACATGAACGCAGTCTGTTCTGAATACCGTGGGCGGGCTCCACGCCACACCTGGGACAGGAGCTCTGGGGAAGGAGGAAAAGAGGGGGAGGGGAAGGTTCAGCTCAATGCCAGGGAGGAAGGTGTGCAGGAGGCCGCTGTCCAGGGACTGCACTGGTCACAAGGATGTCCCCAGGGCCCGCACAGGCCTGGCACACTGCAGGTGCTCGGGATGACTCCGTGTGAATGAGTGGGTGACAAGAGGAAGCTGGCGAGGAGCTGGGGTGGGTGACGAGGAGGTGTGCGGTGCGGGCGGCAGAGGGGCCAGCGGGACTGGGCCCAGGCAGCGCCAAGAGGGGTGGGCTGGGCACTTGCAAAGCCAGGGAGGGAGGGGAGCCGGGGGTTGAACAGAGAGCCTTTCCCCTGCGCCTGAGGATGCGGTCAACAAATACAAGACGCCCATTCCCCGTGAACAGTGCAGCCGCGGCTTCCAGAATGTTTATCAGCGGGGAAGCGGTACAGTCTGTTAGGTGCAGAAAATCCTAGGTCTGAGAGAGAGAATTCTTGCTATGAATCAGAGTCTTTAAGAAACCATCTCTGCATCTGCAGCCGAGAAAAAAGGCGGGACCCGCCCTGAGTGTAGTGGCTGGACTTCTCTGGGCGGTGGGTTTTCTGCAGGGAATTTACCCACTTCTTTGTGCTTCTGTTCATTGTTCACGTCCCACAGTCATCGTATGACCCTCTTTTAAACGGGAAGGAAGCTGCTTGAGGAGCCGGAGCCGTTCTAGGTGAAAGGGCACCAGGGAGCCTGCTGGGGCCCCGGGGACTGAGCCACCAGATGGGAAACCCCCACGTGGCAGGCAGTGTCCTCCCGGGATGCAGCCTGGGAGGGACCAGAAAACTACCCCCAAAAAAACAGACGGAAAGAGGAAGTGATTCTCTCTCCATGCTCTGCCCAGATGTTGAGGCTGACCTCTTCCCACAGGCCAGGGTCCCGGGAGAGCCCGAGGTGGACTGAGGCAGCATCCCCTTGACCCCCACAGCAGCCACCTGCTGGCCCTGCAGCTGAGGAACAAAGTAACCCCTCTCTGCCTCCCCAACCTCACTGCAGTCCCCAGGGCTTGGGACGGCCTCCAGAATCCTCCCCCACAGAAGCACCAACTCGGCACAGGAAGGACCTGGGGGCTCTCGCTACCTCCAGGCAGAAGCTGGCTCCCCGAGGTGGCTGGCGACCCCCACCAGGAACAAGAAGGCCACCTCTGTTGGTTCTTCTGCTCCCTGAGTATCTCATCTGCTCCGCTGGTGTTTATTGAGCACCTACTTCCTGAGTGCCAGACTCAGGGTCCCCACACGTCCCCCTGTCAGTCTGAGCTCAGAGGAGGGTGAAACCAGGAAGCCGGGAGGGTCCTGGGGTCCCCGTCGTGACTGCAGATATCGACACACGAATCCAGCAGTGTGTCCTGGGAGTCATGCTCCCTGGCCTGGAAGTGCGTCCTGGCTGGGGGGACGCAGGCAGGGACAGGGGGACGTCAGTCTACTTCTAGCCCAGGTGCAGGGGAATGCCCAGGAGGGGCCCAGGTCCTCTTAGGAGGCCGAGGAAAGGGCCCGGGCAGAGGGCATCTAAGGGCAGTCTTTGGAGTCCAGAAGGAAGGAGCCCTGTGGGGGCGGGCGAGGCCCTCAGTGAGCCTTGAGCCACCCCAGGAGGAGGGACGAGGCTGGTTACAAGAGGGAGGACCCTGGAGTGTGAGGAGTGGGGGGGCGGGGGTTGGGCAGGGCCGAATGTGGAGGCCCTGACAGTCCCGGGGCTGGATTGGGGAAGAGTCATACAAAGGAAGGCAGGGTCCCAGGGGACACCCCAGGCCCCGGCACAGGAAGGACCCCCCTCCCACAGCCTGCGACCCCACTCCCAGGGGCACGTCCTCTGGGGCCTGGCCCCGTGTGCAGCTGACCTCCATTCTGAGGAGCCAGGGCAGTGCTGCAGGTGAGGCTGTCAGGGCCTCCCCCCGGGGCCACCGAGGAGCAGGGGGTCACTCACCTTTGACCCGTTTCTGCAGCCTCCTCCAGACCAGCAGCGAGGAGCCCACCAGGAGGAGCAGCAGGAGGGACAGCAGGAGGAGCAGCACAGGGAGCCTGCGGAGGGCGGGTGAGGGCCACGTGGGGGACTGTGCGCTAGGCAGGTGCTCGGTCACTGTGCAGGGAATGACCTCAGGGGCACTGGACCATGGAGCCACATTCCCTGGTGGTTATTTAGAGTCAGGGTCTCCCTGAGCTGCTCAGTGCCTCCCAGTTGCTGGGGCTGGCTTTGAACTTGTGATCCTCCTGCCTCAGCCTCCTGAGTCTCTGGGATCACAGGCGGGGGCCACTGCGCCCACCCAAGTCAATTTTTTAAAAGAAGGTAGAGAAGCCAGGCAAGGTGGGGAGGCTGAGGCAGGAGGATCCCTAGTTCAAACCAGCCTTAGAAAGGTGAGGTGCTGAGCTACTCAGTGAGACCCTGTCTCTAAATGAAATACAAAATAGGGCTGGGGAGGTGCCCCGTGGTCGAGTGCCCCTGAGTTCTGAGTTCAATCCCTGGTACCATGAAAAAAAAAGGAGACCACAGTGGGACCCAGAGGGGCACACTTATCATTCCAGCAAGTCAGGAGGCTGCATCAGGAGGCTCCCAAGTGTGAGGCCAGCCTCAGCAACTTAGAAAGGCCGTGTCTTTCTAAGGCTGGGGATGTATCACAGAAGAAAAGTGCCTCTGGGTTCAATTCCCACTACCAAAAATAAATAAGTAAAAAGAAAAGGTAGCATATGTCCCTATCTACACCCCCCATGTCCCCTGTCCTGGCACTTGTGCACACGGTGTGCCCAAGAACTCTCCAGAGACCCAGAGACTCTCTGTTCACAGACAAGCCTGCAAGAATGTGCAGGGCTGGGAGACAGGGGACAGGGCACAGTGGGGGACATTTCCAGCCACACACCAGGTCTGGTGCCACCCCCAACATCAAAAAGAAGCAAAGCTGGGGGCCGGGTTGTAGCTCAGTGTAGAGCCCTGGCCTGGCACACAGGAGGCCCTGGGTTCCATCCTCAGCACCACATTAATAATAAATAAATAAGTAAATGAAAAAATAAAATAAAGTTATTGTGAAAAAAAAGAACAAAGGCGTGTGTGTGTGTGTGTGTATGAACACAATTATGGTTTTAAAAATGCCTCTTAGCAACCTTTCCAGTCAGTGCATAAAGAAATCCCAATCCTTCACTCTTTGCACAGCTGCATAATATTCCATCACATGGTAGACCACACGTCCTTTAGCCGTCCCCTCTTCATGGCATCCCCCCATTTTATTGTGTGACCGCTAACATGGCTGTAATAAGTCACCCAGTAGCTCCGTCATCCCACACTAGGATACAGAGCAGCAGATTTACCTCCAGATTTACTCAGATACAAGCTTCAAGCCCTTATGAGCTCGGGCCTTTCTTCCATACCTTGCACTCATAATCTTCATGTGCAATTGTGTGCACACACACACGTGCATGTGGGGCCCTGGGGGGGTGGTGGAACCCAGGGCCTCCCTGCATGCTAGGCAAACACTCTGCCTAGCATCTTTCTTAAAGATGCCCCCATCCCCAAGACACACACACACACACACACACACGCTGCACAAGCTTCAGACCCTGGTGACACAGCTGAGCTCCTTGCCCCTGGGCCTCTGCAGGATACACTTCAGGAAGCGGCATGTAGAGGCCTGAGTTTTGAGGTCAAGAGTCTGGCTGGCCTCTGCCTCTGCCCCAGCCTCTGGGTCTGGGGAGGGAGGTTGTCACCCTGGGAATTTCCCAAGCGACAAGAGCAGCTCTGCTGTCTGTGGCCCACACCTGACTCTGCTAAGAGGTGAGGTGACAGGAGGGGGCTGCCACCAAAAAGACCATGTTGTTGCAGAGGCTGCAGGGACCCTGGCCTCCAGGGAGGGAGGGGCTGGAGCCCGAGTGTCCTGAAACCCCAGAGAACACCTGGACATGGGAGACGGGAGGAGCTCTGGGGACAGACACAGGGAGGTCCCTGATCCCACCCTGAGAGGGCCTGGAACTCTGTTTGGGACATCCAGACTGCACCCGTGTCCCCTCATTTGGGGGATCCTGATCTATATCCTTCATGATGAAGCCGTAATCTTAGGTATTTTGTGCAGACTCTGAGTCTGTGAATCACGGACCCCCAGGGGCCACGGGAGCCCCACGTTTGCAGCCAGTTGTCAGAAGTGCTGGGACCTGGGCTGCCCCAAAGTGCAGCTGTGTCTCATGTGGGGTCCTGGGGTCAGAGCCCTTAACCTGTGGGTCTGCAAGGACTGCAGTGGTCAGCACCAGGAGCCAACTGCCCACCCTGGGTGAGGTCAGAGTGGGGAGCCCATGACCCCCAGAAATGGCCTGTGCCTGCTTGCATTTTTCTGAGGAGTCCACAGATGTGCTCAGATTCTCTGTGAGATTGAGGACCCCCCAGATAGAGACCCACTCAAATTAGAGGGGACAGCCCCAGACTCTGGGGTGACACAGGCCCAGCCCAGCCCCACACCTGTGCCCATGTGACAGGTGACACAACCTCTCCTTGCAGTCTGTGAGATGAGCATGGGAGCAGGTTGGGTCATGTGAGGAGCCAAGGAGGACAGCGTGTGGGGCTCTGGGCACCCGGCAGAACAGCCCCAGCCCTCATGGGTGGACACTTGCCTCCCCTCTGCCAGCCCCTCCTTGGTCTCAGTCTCCCTTGAAGCCTGGGGCAGGTCCAGTGTGGTGGCCTCAGTGACCCAAACCAGGTTACACAGAGTGCAGCTTCCAACCTGGGCCTGGGGCCAAGGGTCAGCAGGCCTGGGCCAGCAGGGGTGTGACTCCCTCCCCCGAGTGACCACACAGCCCCCGTGGAGAAGACCCCAGTCAGGGACAGGACACTTACCCTGGGCCCTGGCCATGGTCGAGGTCCTGGCTCCTGGGACCAGGGGTGGCACTCTCTGTGGCCAGGCTGGTGGACAGTGTAGCTTGGGCTTTGCTTGTGGTTGTCAAGGTCTTCGCTGTCGTGACACTTGTAAGTGTCCCTGACGTTGCTGGTGGCAAATCTACAATGACACCCAGAGGTCTGTCCTGCAACCCGCCCACCACTGGGGGATGCCTTGGGCCTGATTTCAGGCCAAATGCTCACTGAGGAAGGGGGCAGGCGGTGGCCAGGGCCAAAGTCTCCCCAGGACCCTGGGGACAATTCTGTACAGGACACAGGTTCCACCCCCAGCAGGGCTGATTCCGTCCTGCTGTGAGGGCCATGGCCTCCTGAGAAGCCCAGGGTCACCTCCCCACACCAGGTCTCGTCCCCCTCCCATCACAGCCACAGGCTGCAGGGATATCTAACTGCAAAGACCACTTGTCTCTGTGCTGCCTCTGCCCACTGCACCATCCAGGACTTCTGCCCCTCTGCTCCGCCCTGGGTGTCCACACAGAGCTCTGCCTGTCCCTGTCCCCAGGGCCTAGGGTGGGCACTGGCTGTCTCCCCTGCAGGCTCTGCTCTCGCCTCCTTCCCTGATTGGCAGCTCCTCAGGGCTGGGCGGGCTGTGGGCTGCTCCCCCCTTGGACTCCCTCCCAGGCTCCAGCTGCTGCTTTCTGATTCTTCCCCAGGTGTCCAGGTCCAGGCAGCCCAGGCGCTGGTGGGAGGGGCTCACCTGGCAGCACGGCCACCTCAACCTCGAAGGACAGGTCAAAGCCTTCGTACCATGGTGTGTCCACCCGGCACTCATAGGAGCCTGTGTCCTCCAGGGTGAGGCGCTCCATGGTCACTGTGAAGCTGAGGTTTGCAGGGTGGTCGCTGATGGACACTCGGCCGCTCCGCACCTCTCTCTCTGAGCCTCTAGTCTTCACAATATCTTTACAACGTACAAGTGATTTTTTGCACCACAGTTTGTCATTGTCCTTGAATTTCTCGCCATAGTGACACTGCACGGTCAGGGATCCTCCCACGGTGCCCGTCACCTTGCTGGGGCCACTCAGAGGAACACAGTCTGAAAAACAAAATTTGGAGGCCAGGTCCTCACAGATGGGCCAGGGCCAGGGGGACCTGGGTCAGGTCCTCAGGAGACCCTCCTTCACCTCACATCAGACCCCCTCCCCACCACTCACCCCTGGCCACCAGCCCCTTCTGCTCCTCCACCCAGGACACTGACACAGCAGCCCCTCCCTTCACCCCAGTCCCCCCCTCACCACCTGACCTCCTGCTTCCAGAACCCAGGGCCATAAGCACCCTGAGCCCCCTCTCCTGGGACAGCCCCCGGCCCCATGAGTCTCAGACGCGGAGACACAGCAGAGTGGACCTGGTCCAGCAGGACGTGAGCCAGGGCAGAAGCGGGGTCCCCAGACCATGTGGATGAGAGCCCTGGACTCCTGACAGCACAGGATGCACACAGCGAGGGCCACAGAGCTCCCAGGACCCTCTCCCCCTCCCTCACCTCGGATGACCCGGCTCTGGGGACCTCATTTCCAAGGAAACTCCTTTGTGTCCCCAAGATTTCCAGTTGCATTTCCCCAAAGGCTCCGACACAAAGCTGGGGTGAGGTGAGCACCAGGAAGCTAACCACCTCCAGGCAGAGGACCAGGCCACCCTGCACCAGGCTCCAGCCCAGGGGCATCTGCATGTGCACCTCCCTCTCGCCCTGGGGACCCTGTGGTCAGGCCCAGATGGGCGGGGAGATGGCAGGACTAGGGTGGCTTGCTCTCTCCCTGGGACTGGATGCTTTCCTCATTTGCCTTCAGGGCCTTAGGCCTGACCTGAGACGGTGGGACCCCCGAGTGCACAGCCCCGACCTGGGACTGTGGGACCCCTGAGTGCACAGCCTGGACCTGGGACTGTGGGACCCCTGAGTGCACAGCCTGGACCTGGGATTGTGGGACCCCTGAGTGCACAGCCTCGGGGGTGTAGGCCTCCTCCTCATCCCTTCAGTGCCTGCTGCGCTTGGCACAGGGAGACCACTGTGGCCACACCCTCAGAGCACAGCTGCCCACAGCTGCCCAGTAGCCCCTCTATTCCTCTGCCAGGGCCAGTAGGACCCCCTCTCCCAGCCTTGGGGTGAGGTCCCCTGCAGAGAAGGCCTTGTGACACTGTCACAGATGGGACATTCTCCGAGAAGCTCAGTAGCAACTGCCAAGGTGAAGCCACAGGGGCCTCGGATGAACCCGGGCTTGGGCCTCAGCTCTAGTTTGCATCCTCTGTGTGCTCAGGGCCAGGGCCTGACCTCTCTGCGCCTCAAATGCCAGCCTCAAAGTGGTGGGGACCACGCCAACCTGACATGGCATCTGGGGGGTTCATGGAAGATCATGTTAGGATGGGGCCAGGTCAGTGGAGAGGCTGCCCAGCATGCAGCAGGCCCAGGCTCCACCAGCCCCAGGAAACAAAGGAGGGAGGAGGGAAAGAGCCGTCCTGGCTGTCAACCGTCTGCAGGTCATGTTAGTGACACTCAGGAAATGCTGCTGCTCAGTGCCCTTGACCAAGAAAACAGGAGCTCCGTCAGATGTGACCCCACAAAACCAGGTAACCCCTGTCTAGTCCAAATGAGAAATGGAGAGAGGAAGTAATCACAGGTAGAGAGAGTTAAGGGCCCACAGGGGACTTTGTAGAATTTGTAGGCCGTGTGCGATGGCGCGTGTCTATAATCCCAGGGGCTCGGGAGGCTGAGGCAGGAGGATCTCAAGTTCAAAGCCAGCCTCAGCAAAAGCAAGGTGCTAAGCAACTCAGTGAGACCCTGTCTCTAAATAAAATACAAAATAGAGCTGGGGATGTGTCTCAGTGTCAGAGTGCCCCTGAGTCAATCCCTGGTGCCCCTCCCCAAAAAGAAACTCTCTGTAAATAAATGTGTAACCTGGATGAATGGGTGATTTTCCAGAAAAACAGAAATCACTAATATTGGCACATATTAAGTAGTTAGTAATGAATGTCAACCCCAGCCCTATTTAATCAGGATGCTGTCCCCGGCCTAGTCCTAACACTCCCACCTCCCCTGTCCCCTCCTCTCCTGTCCCCACCTCCCCTGTCCCCTTCTCTCCTTTCCCCTCCTCTCCTGTCCCCTCCTGCCCTGTCCCCATCTCTCCTGTCCCCACTTCCATGTCCCCTCCCCTCCTGTTCTTACCTCCCCTGTCCCCTCCTCTCCTTGCTGTGGGTTGCTGGCTCCCCTATTCAGGGTCTTGGTCCTTGCCCTGACCTGTGGCCTCCCCCTCACCTGCCACACCCAGTCCTGTCCCTCAGGATTGCTCTAAATCCTCCTTAAACCTCAAGTCAAGAGGAGAAAAGGAGAAGAGGAGGAAAGGGGGAGGACACAGTGGAGGAGGAGGAGGAGGAGGAGGAGGAGGAGGAGGACACAGTGGAGGAGGAGGAGGAGGAGGAGGAGGAGGCCAGAGCACAAGGGAAAGGAAAATCACCCCGAGTCTCTACATTCTGTAACCTGGATGAAGTGAATTATTTTCTAGGGAAATACAAATGACCAACCTAAGCCAGAAATAGAGGGGCTTCTCAAAACAGATGGACATTAGTGAGAGTCACCAAGGAGTCCTCCCCACCCCACCCCCACCCGCCCCAGAAAATGACCACAGCCGCACAGTTGACAGACGGTTCTCTCAGTTCTCTCAAACCTCAGGCCAGGATGCGGCTCAGCATAGAGTGATCCCCGGCAACTGTGAGGCTCAGGGCTCGGGCCCAATACCAAAAGCAAAACCCCTTCAAGGCACACACAGCTCCAATTCACTCAACTTTACAGAAAATACTGAACCAGGGAAATCCCTGTAAGGTTTTTCATGAACTCAGCATTGTATATCGAGAGGGAATTTGGCCAACTCTGTCTCTGTGTAAGGGTGGGCATGGGGGGACGGATACTAGGGATTGAACCCAGGGACACTGGACCATCAGGTCACATCCCCAGCCCCTTGAAAACTGTATTTTGAGACAGGGACTCAGTAAGCTGCTGAGGATGGCCTTGACTTCCATGGCCCTGCCTTACACTCCCGAGTTGTGGGGTTACAGGTGTGCATCACCCCACCTGGGCCAATATAATTGGGGCCAAATCTCTTTCTATAATTCACCAGCTTAGAAGTTCAAAGAAAGAAAATCAGCTCCTCAGATCAGGAAAAGCTCTCTCTTGCCTGTTGCTGCTGTGCTAAAATGCTCTGTGGGGGCTGGAGTGGGGCTCAGGGTAGAGCCCTTGCTTATAGCACAGGGCCCTGGATTACATCCCCCACAGAGGGAGAGAGAGGGAGAGAGGGAGAGAGGGAGAGAGGGGGAGAGGGGGAGAGGGGGAGAGAAGAGAGAGAGTGAGAGGGAGGGTGGGGAGAGGAGGGGGGGAGAAGCTTTGTGAAGAGATATGGGGGGACGGCTTCCTCACTCCTCATAGGGACCACTGGCCATCGTCCCCTGAGGCAGGGCCAGTCAGATGAGCACAGCCACAGGGGGCTCATTGGGTCTGCACCAGGCCTGGGCTGAAGGGCCCACAGAGAAACAGGTACCAGGAAGGAGCCCCCTGTCCTCGGCCCATGCAGATGCCATGAAAACACAGGAAGACCCTGGGAATCAACAGAGACGCTGGCCGCTGGCCACGGGTGGACGTCCAGCCCCAGTGAATCCACAAAGCCACATTCCCCAGAGTCACTGTGTTTACACTGCAAATACTAGTAGAGAAGGCACAGAACTGATAGGAGCATCCAAAAGTTCTAAGATATCCTGCATGTAAGATAAATGAAATAAAATAAACCTGTCCTGGGCCTGCACCAAGACCGCACTGTGAATGCTGCTGGGGACGCCTGAGGAGGTCTGGTCCTGCATGGGAAGACTCTGCCCTCCAGGAGTTCTGCCTGGAGAAGGTCTCCTCCCTGCCCTCCCACGATCTCCCGCTCCCTGCCCACTGCCCTTCCCTCTCTTCTGTCCCCAACTTCCCTCCTGGGGACCACTGACCCCTGGGCCCCACCAGGACTCTTCCCACCCAGCCTCCAGCTGCCCTGGCTGAACCCACCTGTCCCTGAGATGGAGGCCTTCTCCTCCTCGGTCCCCTCCTTCCTCTGTATCCCAAACTGGTGGACCTGGAGGGCCTCCCCAACACAGGCCCCAGGTGTGCTCTGGTGCCCTCTCCACCCCACCCCCGTCCACCGCTCCCTGCTCCCCCTGTCCTGGTTCCCCCTGACCTCTCTCAGGGCCCCTCCTGGGCAGCACCCTTTGCCCTGGGCAGCACGCTGGTTCCTCCAAGGTCAGGTGGGCTCAGAGGGAGCCCCTTGCCCCTTCCCTCCCAGGGGTGTGGTGTTTGGCAGGTCCATCTTACATCATGGACCCAGCGCACCCCATTCTGCGTCTGCACAGAGACGTGCAGCTGGGGCTCCTCACATGATGCCTCCTGGTCACCCTCCTGCCTTCCCTCCCTTCTGCAGACCCTCCCTGGACAGAGGGCCCTCACCTGGGAGCCAGAGAAGCAGCAGAGCCAAGGGGGGCCAGGCCATCAGGCCTCTGGGGCTCATTTCTCCTGCACAGATGTCACCACTGGGCGCCAGGCCCCACAGGACCCAGGCTCCAGCCCCCTGGGGAGGGTCAGTCTCCAGGGCTCCCACTTCTGCTTTTCTCTGGGGCAGCTGCTTCCTGCTTGTCTTCTTTAGGTCTGTTCTTGGGGCTGGGGAGAAAATGGAGAAGGTGCAGGGGACAAGCGGCCCCCTAGGTGGCCCTGGGCTTGTGCTGTCCTATGAAAGCCAGGGAGGGGAAGGTGTGGTGTGTGGGACCCGCCTGGCCCCAAGGTGGCAGGACTGCCCTCACCCCAGGTCTGCAGGGCCAGGCTTCCTTCTGGCCCTGTCACTCCTCCTCTTCTCCTTGTGGTCAGGATGTCACCAGTGGGAGGGGCACACAGAGCCTGCGTCCTCAGCACTGGGCCTGCCCTGAGGGAGGCCAACCTGGAACTGACCCTCCATGAGCCCAGCTCTAGGCCTGACCCCAGGTTGACACAGTGGCCCTAGAGTCCCTGAATGGTTCCTGGTCCTGGAAATGTGTCCTCAATCTGACTGTGACATCCACAGGCCGTGACCTTCCCTGCCTCCCGTGTCGCCCCTGTGGCCTTGTAAATCTCCTGCGAGATGCAGTTCTCCTTGGGGAAGGGAGAAAACCCCTGGGACACCTGCGGGAGGAACAGGTCTAGGACCTGATCCTGGCCATGCCTGGTGGCACTTGTCCTTCGTCCCTGACCCCAGATCCAAGGGAAAACACAGATGATGCAAAATGACCTCATGACCTCAGAAACCCAGGAGGTGGCACCTTCCCACAGCTCCCTGCGTCCTTCCCTGGACCTGATGCCGGGGAAGGAAGACAAACCCAAGAACCCCGGGCTGAGCCCCTTTCCAGGGCAAGGAGAGGGTCCCTCCACAGCCACAAAGCCTCTGGTCCCACTTCCAGTCTCCTCCCAGGGTGGACGCACACTCTAGAGATGGGGGTGGGGGTCCTCAGGACAGATCTGGGTGTGGACAAGCTGGGGAGACGCTAGGCAGGGCTCCGCCCTCCAAGGCAGCGCAGCCAGAGCCCCTCCCACCGCCGCAGCCTTCTCCTCCCTCCACCACTTCCTCCCCCAGGAAGTCTGAGGCTGTCTCCGGGAGGGCATGACCGGTGGGTGCCTCTGCAGTGCAGCCAGAGCCCGGCACCAGGCCCTGAGAAGCAGGAGGCCGCTCACTGTGGTGAGGCCCAGGGGAAGAAGGCTTCACAGCCCAGGGAGCACCTACCTGATGGAGGCCGAGAATAACTGACAGCCACCAAGGGCCCCATGTCCTGTGCTTCTGCTGTGGCCAAGTGCACACAGCTGGGGCTCACACCTGTAAGATCCAGAGACAGAGCAGACCTGCAGGACACACTGCCAGGGAGGACAGCCAGAGGACAGAGGCTCCTGGTTTCTCTTCCCCGGGGATGGGTGAGACCAGCTGCAGTGGCCTGACCCCACCCACCCTCCGGCCCCTCCCTGGGACCCAGGGCTGGGTGCAGCTGGGTGTCAGAGCACAGCAAGGCCCTGGCTCAACCCTAGACCTAGACTGCAGACCAGACCAGAAAACGAGGGGGAGACCACGCGGGAGTCAGGCCTGGCCTGGGCGACCTGTGACAGGTGCACTTTGGGCTTTGATGTAGCCTCTGCTGCTCTGCCGCTGCGACTTATTTTGAAAATGGACTTGTTTCTTTCTGTTCCTCTTTCTCTCTCTGCTCCTCCCTAATCTCTCCCCCTCCCCAATCTCAGGGGAAACAGGGTTGCCTTTCTTTCCCAGCCTAGAGACTTCTCTCTTGAGTACAAACCCACCACAGGAACAAGTAATCCAGACTTTGGGGATGGCACCAGAAGATCTCAGAAATGACTGTCTCCCAAGTTAACAAGTGATTGACAACTCCAGACAGAGAACAGGGGATGGACTTTGAGCCACCTCTCTAGAAGCCCCCTGTCCCTGCTGATGGGCAGAACCACCTCTTTGGGACAGGAGTCCCCTGTGTTTTTCTTTTGCTAGCAAAGCAATAAACCTTTTTCTCAAAACTGAGTCCTCTTTATTGGATTGGCATCAGAGACAAAGGCTGAGCTTTCAGCAACATTTTGGCACCCCAGATGGGACCCAAGAGCAGCCCCCACTCCAGCTTTCTTGGGCAGCCCTGGCTCTCTGAGGAACCCCACTTCCATGCTGAGGATTCGTGGTCCTGGTGAACTTCTTGGGAGGCAGGAGAGGAAGGAGGCGAGTCGGCTTTGGGTAGAACCTAGGAGCTGTTCTCGAAAGTCAAGGGAGGGACTGGGGGACCGTCCCAGCAGCTGCCGAAGCTCCTTTGGCTTCAGGGAACTCCAGCCCTCTCTCCCTGAACGGTACGGCGTGCTCCATCCTGGTCCACTTTGAGAAAAAGGAAACTGAACTTTAGAAACTCATGACAACTTTGGCCACTTGGTAAGCTCCCCGCTGTGCACGCTGAGACCCTGGATTCCACACACCTGGTCCCTCTTTCTGGGGACCTCTGTGGTACCACTGGTGTAGGAGTCACAGTTACGCAGGACTCGAGAACCTAGGGATAGGGACTCCCTTCTCATCTGTTCCAGGTTCTCATTTGTTTGTTGGTCTTGGACTTGGGGATCCCTCTGGTTGTCTGTTTCGTTAAGACATGGCCAGTACTGCACTGACCCTGTGGGTAGTCTCTTGGGGGAGATCCTAGCTGGTCAATTTAAAGGTTCCCATTTGTCAGCCATGGTTTGAGGGCGTCTCTCTCTCTCTCTCTCTCTCTCTCTCTCTCTCTTCTGTTACTGGCCCTCTAAGACCCAGGCCTTGCTGCATTGATCTAACTGGGAGCCTCTTGAGCAGAGAGATCTGGGCTGCATGGGCCACCGATGGGGATAAGCCTGTCTAAGAGAAAGAGGGTTTGCTGGAACACAACCTGGCCTTTAAATGGCTTCTCTTGACATTGAAGTTGGGCTGTCAGGGTTAAAGCATATGAAAGAGTTCCTATAGGTAGGGGTTTATGCAGTTGCAGGATGAGGGGTCTGAACCTAGCGCTGGCCCCCCCTCAGCACTGTTCCTCAGCCTGGCCCCAGCAGCCGCAGATCATCTCCGTGTGGGTCAAGGACACCAGCCCTGAACTGGGTGGGGGGAAATCCCAGAAAAGCTCCCTGGGTGGGAGACAAATGGCCAGAGAACTGGCCTGTGCCCTGCCTTCCAGCCCCTTTTGCCCCTGGTGGGTGGAGGCTGCTGGCCACAAGGGAGGTGGCAGTAGGTTCCAGCACTGTCCTTTATGACCTGGGGACAGGAATAGTCTCCCCTTTTAAGACCTGACAGGACACCCCACTTGGCCAGGAGATATTCATCACTGGGACAAAGCAATGCTTGCTATGATAGCATCCCTCCCACCTAAATGCCTGGGGACGCTGGCAGAATAAATAGCTGCACCCAGATAAGGGAGACAGAAACTAAGGCCCGCCCACCTGTGTTTCCTAGGCAGCCCTCACAAAGGGATCTCAAGGAAACCTGAAGGAACTGATGGGAAGGGCCCCCCCACTGCGAATCAACAGGCCCAGTATAAGAGAGAGGCCCCAAAGGAGCCCCTGGGTACAATTGACAGTGGGGAACTGACTTCAATGATAATGTGATAATGACAAAGGAGACAGGTCAGCCTCAAAAATACCCTGTGTTCTAACCCTGGAGAGAAAAAAGATGAAGGCATAGTCCAACCCTCTCCTGGGATGATATTTGTGATGATTTTGAGATAATTTTCTTGGATTTAAATTAAAATGCACAGATAACATTCCTAAGGACTGTTTGAGAATATGAATTTAAGAAAGGGTCTAAAACTAGAAAAAATAAAAGAAAGTTATAGGTATGGAAATATATTTTAGTACAGAAAGTTGGAAGGTAAAAGAAATGCTTCTGGATGGGAAAGTATTTTGCCTGGTAAAGTAATATTCTTGGGGGGCTGGGGTTGTAGCTTTGCAGTAGATCGCTTGCCTAGCACTTGTAAGGCGCTGGGTTCGATCCTCAGCACCACATAAAAATAAATAAATAAAATAAAGGTATTATGTCCAACTATAACTGAAAAAAAATTATAAAAAAAGTAATATACTTGGGCTAAAGTCCAAGATGCAACAGAATAAAACTAAGGATATAAAGAAGTTGTGGATGTTTAACTAAGTCACAGAAGTTTTGTGGAAGGTAAATCTCAAAGTTTGTGATTTAATTGGCTATAATTAGCACAGTCAAAATTGTTCGAACTTTCATGTGCTGATATGAAGCAAAGTCTGAAACATGGATCTGCTCTTATCTATTGAGATAATTTTCTTGGATTTATTAGGTTTTATTACTTGGGGAAACTAAGTCTTAAAGGAATTAGAGTTTGTACCTGTTTTAAAGTCTTAAATGATTACTTTGTAAGTGGTTAAACAAACAACCAATATTTAGGTTATAACAGTATAGTTGACACCCCAAATACATGTGACTAGGTATATGTATGCATCTGAGAACTATGTCTGTCTAAGCCTTGTCTAGCTGGGGTTGTAGCTCAGTGGCAGAGCACTTACCTACCACATGTGAGGGCATTGGGTTTAATCCTCAGCTCCACATAAAAGTAAATAAATAAAAAGTAAATGAAGTAAAAAGTAAATAAAGGTATTGTGTCCATCTACAGCTAAAACAATTTGAAAGAAAATGTTTATAAAATGAAAGTTTATGTAAGTTTACAGGCAAGACAACAATAAGTGCTCTCTTTTATACATTGTATCTGACATAGAAGGGCTACACTGTTATTTGAAGACCCATCTTATAATTTTTGCTTGACTAAGTCAATTTCTGATCATTAACACCGTTTCCTAAATATATGAGAGATCTAAAGTTATCCTGTGATTTTTGCTAACCTGTGTAGACCTGTGATTATTGTTATCTGACACTATGGATTCTCAATTGTACTTTAAAAGTTAAACTTAGTTAAATATAAAGCTCAGGAGTGCACTTTGCCAAATTGTGTTCTCCAAACTAAAATTATCTGTAGCAAGTCTCAGATTTGCATAGAAATAACGAATTTGGTTGGTATTTATTCATGTCATTTGATGTTTTACAGCTGGATAAAGTAACCTGTGGGGAGCCACCCGTGAGCTACTTGAGGGGTGTCTGCACTCGGAACCCAGCCATGAGACTTAGGGTTTTTCCTCGGGAACTCTCCTGGCTCTCCCGTGCACATCAGACTGACCAAAGCATGAGATCTCTGTCTTCACTCCTTGGCTTTGGAGTTGGGCTTAACCCACTGGGAACTGGACAGCCCACCTGCTAACTTATTTGGCACAGAACATTCCATGGAAAACCTTTGAGGTTCCCCATATAAATAAAGCAAGCGCAGGCTCCATCCTCTCTTTCTAGTGTGGAAGCTCCATCCTTAAGATCCGCGAACCCTCCCGCCCCCGCTTTTTTTTTAAGTTAAAAAGATTTTATTGATTTGGGTTTTTTTTTTTTTTTTTGTGTGTGTGTGTGTGTGTGTGTTGCTGGGGATTGAACACAGGGCCTTGTGCATGTAAGGCAAGTACTCTACAACTGAGCTTTATCCCCAGCCCTGGATTTTTTTTAATACCTTTATTTTATTTATTTATTTTTATGTGGTGCTGAGGCTTGAACCCAGCGCCTTCTATGTGCTAGACGAATGCTCTACCGCTGAGCCACAACCCCAGCCGCCCCCCACCTCCCCCGGATTTGTTTTTTAATGACACAATTTAGTACCCAATAGCATTTTAGAAATCTACTTAAGGTAGTTTTATAGTGCCTCAAAAAAAAAAAAAAAAAAAACCAGAACAGAGGCTAGGGATATCCTCCTGATAAAGTTAGAGGTTAGCCTATTGGAGGCCTGGGTTTTATTCCCAGTGCTGCAAAAAGAAAAGAAAGGGAAAGCATAAAATACTTAATATTTCCTATAGCCACCCCCGCTTTTTAAAAATTGTTTTCTGTGTCCTGTGGTTTTTCTGCCACCTTCTTCTTCTTTTTTAGCCTTTATTTCGCAACCAGCCCACTCTGTGAAGAGGAACCCCAATTCCGTCGCCTGCACCGGATGCGGGCAAGAGTGACCTGTGGTCAATGTTATATATACAATTTTGTGCTGCTTTTCACACTGGAATTGGAATTTAAATGCATTTTTTGGAAGATGATAAGGAGATCCTGATCTGCTTAAAGGTGACATTGTAAAACATGGAGGCATTCTGCCACTTTTTCCACAAAAAGAAAGTTAAAAGCTCTCTTAGACTTTCCTTGATTCTTGTTTCCCATGAAATGTTGTGTTGTGTTATTTGTGAAGAGCCCCCCTTGCCTGGGATAAGGCTCTGCCTCCCACCTTACTCCATGTCGAAATGGCTCCAAAATAAGCCACACTTCAGCTCATTTAAAGTTGTGTTCAAAAGATTGACTTTTTTTTGTAAGGATTACTGTGATCTCCAACAGGGATTATAATATATAACTAAGTGAAGGGTCAAGATTATAAAAGTCGTTTTTCTTGGTTCATAGCTCTTACACAAACTGAATATATTTTTGCTCTGTTTATTTCATTTTGTGTTTTCCTTGTAAACTTTATAACTGTTGCCTGTTAGTGTTTTGCAGAGGTTCTGTTTCAAAAAAAAAAAACAAAAAAAAACACCAACCTGGTTTAATTGGAGGTAATAAACCTTCACCTACAGGATAGTATGTAATGCTGACTTCCTGTACTAATACTCATCCCAATGAAATGAAAGGTGTGTCTGTGAAATTATAGATATTGAAGTTATAACCTGTTACTCCCTCTTTACGATTGGCAGAACTGGTTTTAAGTTGGGTGTTTAAAACCAAAAACTTGGAGACCGAAGTCAAGGAAGTAAAAGGACCAAGGGAAAGCAGCCCTGGACATTTGGCCCCGGCCCTCTAAGGTCAGCCAGGGCCTAGACAACCATGGGACCCCCTCTGGGCCCTGAAGCTCTGCATGATCCCTGCCCTCTGCACGCCTCGTCCCTTCACGGCCATCTGCCACTGTGGACCTCTGACTGCTCTGAGGCTGAGTGTCCTTACCTGTCCACACCCCACCTGATGGAGAACAAGGACTTTGGGTCACTCCCCAACTTCGCCTCCCTTCAGCAGACAGTGGTTTGGAAATGTTGTCGCCCATTTCTCCACACAAATGGAATGTAGAAATTGACAGTGAGGAAATGTAACCATGGTGTCCTTTAGGCCTTGAATACAGCCCTTGCCACTGCCATGTATCCTTAAAAGGGACATGCTTCTTTCCCTTCCTGTCTGCTCCTCCCTAATCTCAAGGGAAACAGGATCACCCTCCTTCTCCCTCCTAGGTAGACTTATCTGTCCTTGAGTGCACACCCTCCATAGGAATAAAGTAACCCAGACTGTGGGATGGCACCAGAAGACCTCAGAAATGACTGTCTCCCAAGTTGACAAGTGCAACGGAGCCTTTGAGCCACCTCTTTAAAAGCCCCCTGTTCCTGCTGATGGGAGGAACCGCAGCCTTTGGGACAGGAGTCCCCCGTGTTTCTCCTTTGCTTGCAAAGCAATAAATCTTCTTTTTTTCTCAAAACTGTGTCCTTATTATTGAATCGGCATCGGGGACAAGGACCGAGCTTTCAGCAGCACAGCCTTGGAGAGCCCAGCCACCTTAAACCCGGGTTCCAGTGCATCCCCTCAGTCCCTGGGCACAGTCCACACCTGCTAGTCATGGTGGCCATGACATGTCCCCCTCTTGTCCTGGGGGTGCTGTGGTCAGGGTAGACAGAGAGGAAGAGGAAGCTACAAGCAGCCAGAGGCCCAGGACCCTCGACCCTCGCTACAGAGCTCAGCCTGGGCTCCCTGGGCCGGCTCAGGAAGGAGCAGCACCCGGGACCTGGTTCCCCTGGAGGGAGAGGGCTCTGGCTTCCCCATGTGACACTGCAGAGTTGGGGACATGCTCAGTGGAAGTGGGAGGGAACGGGGTGGGGTGGGGGCTCTTCCACGTCATCTCCAGCCTCCCCGTGTCCCCGCCACTCTCCCAGGGCTCGCACACCACCTTCTCAGGAGACATTCCTGCCTCAGGGCCACCTCCCACACCCCTGTCCCCTGCAGTGCTCATTTCTGCGTTTGATCACCTGGGTGCCCTGCACGCCCTCCTTCTCCAGGAAAGACTGCAGGACTTTAGGAAAACAGGGACCACAAGGCCCTGCCGCCTCCGCTCACCCAGGAATTGGGCAGAGGGGCCCAGAGCCACTGCACGGCCCAGGGTGGGGGGACAAGAATCGGGCACAGGGACAAAAGGCTTCCCTCAAGCTCTTGCCAAACTGCCCAGCAGGGAGAAGGGAGGGGTGTGTCAAAGGATCCTGCCTTGCACTTATGTCACGTTGTACCTCAATAAAATACAGGCCCAAGCCACTCAGGAGGAGGAGGGGGCAAGGGCAACAGGGGCTGCTGATCCAGACACACACGTCCCCAGGGACACGGAGACGGCAGGACCTGAGAGGAGCCTCTCCCAGCACTGCCCTAGTGACCCTCTGAGACACAGGCACTTGCCAGGACCCCTTCACAGGTGGCCAGGGGCAGGAGGTGGGTGAGAGGCGCCTGACAGCAGGGAGGTCCCCTGCCTGTGGCAATGGGCCTCCACAGCTGGGAAGGTCGGAGCCTGAGTGGCAGGTGTGTCCTCGCTCAGTTTTCTCATTGCACAAGGGGACACTGCCACTCGCTCTGCCCACTTCCTAGGTTATTGGGACACTTAAAAGGAGGTGGGCAGCGGTGCTTGGTGCACCTGTAATCCCCGCCACTCAGGAGGCTGAGGCTGGAGGAACGCCGGTCTCAGCAAGACCTGTATCAAAGTTTTTAAGAAACAGGGGGAATGCTGGGGTGTAGCTCAGAGGTGGAGCACTTGGGCTCTGTCCCCAGCACAGGGACAACAGGAGATCAGCAACGGGAACCAGCCGCGTAGCCCCTGGGGATGTTTTCACTGCTGGCTGGCCGCCCTCCAGCACACACACCTTCCCTGCTCCTCCAGTGCCTGGAGGAGCCCACACCTGTCCTGTGAAACACCTCCAGTCACCGTGCTGTGGCTCCCTAGGGAGTGACCACACAGGGCAGGGGACAGTGGCTGGGAGAAGGCGGTGGGGGGCAGGAGGAGGGTGCTGCAGTTGCTGACCCAGGGGGAGAGACTCGCAGGAAGTGGCTGCCTCCCGGGGCCTCCCAGGCCACCACCGCCACCCCTGCTCCTCCTCCTTCCTCCTCCTAGAATGACCCTGGACAAGTGCAAAAAGGTTCCTGTCAGCTCCGGCCCCCGCGCTGGTCAAGGAGAGGGCAGCACGGACAGTGAGAGGTCAGTTCATAGCCCACTGATATTTGACTTCAGGGGGCACGTTGACCTTGAGTTTGGACATGTGAGTTTCTGACTCTGGCGATGACCCACCTGCTGAGTCCTCAGGAAGGTGGGCAGCTTCCTCCTACACACACCCGACCATCTCGACGCCACAGCTCAGCTCCTGCTGGACGTTCCCAGGAGTCTGTAGTACGTGTGTGCTTTGCAGGTCACACCTCCTGGGCAGGGCTGGCCTGGAGGGGACTCCAGGGTGCCCACCTCATTCCTGTCTGGCCCCAGACCTCTCAGACTCCAACCCCTGCCTGCCTGCCTGGCTCTGGAACCCTGGCTCCCTCCTGGCTCTAGCCCGGCCCATCCCTGATGTCTGGCCCCTGTCTGATTGGCCCCCAGGGGACAGGCCTAAGGACTCATGGTGGGAGGGAGGGGAGTGAGCAGGGTGTAGACAGAGCAGAGCTGGGCGGATCCAAGACCACACATAGCCTGGGAGCAGGGAGGTGCAGGACAGTGTGTGGCCAGGTCCCTCTCTCCTGGTCCTAACCCCACGATGGCCAGAACCAGAGGCTACATAGAGGCAGTGAGACCCCACGTGGAAGCAGAGGTTCTGCGGCCAACAGAGCAGCGCTGGCCCACCAGCCATAAGCCACCCTGTCTCCACCTGCTGGTCACTGCCAGAACTGCCGGCTTTCCTGCTGGCAGCTGCCCCTCTTGACAGGTGGACAGGCTTCTGCAGAGTCCAAGCACGTGGCATTGACTCTCCCAGACTCCCCAGCCATAGGCCTTGGACACCGGTGAGGCTCTGGGTCCACAGGAAGAGGACCTGAGGCAGGTTGGCCGTTGAGGGGGAGGTGGAGAGGGTGACAGCAGAGACAGGAGGAAACGGGAGAGTGCCAGCCTCGGACCAGGCCAGCCGAGGGAGCTGGGGCTCGGACAAAATCCTTTCTGTCCTTGCGCTTCAGCTGACCACGTTCGATCACACAGACGCTGCGAGGGGCTCAAGCCAGGTGAACATTGGAATCCTTTGGGGACCTTCTTAAAAATACTGTGCCTTCCCCAGAGCAGTGGGGAAGCCCCGCCAACCCGGAGACCAAAGCAGGAGGATCCCAGGGAGACGGAGGCAGGAGAAGCGCAAGTTCAAGGTCACTGGTGGAAGAGTGCCCTGGGTTCAGTGCCCAGTTCCAGGGAAGCCTGCCCTTGCCTGAGCCAACCACACCCCTGCTTTTTCCTGCCCACCTGCACCAGAGCTCTGAGTCAGTAGATGCACAGAGACCTGACAAAGAGGGAGGAGGCTGCAGGTAGAGAAGGGGGGGTCCCAGCAGCAAACAGCATGGGGACATGTGGAAGTCAGCTGTGGTCTCTGACCCCAGATCACCAAAGCCCTCCTCAGGAAGGAGAGGGGCCCCACGGGGAGGACTCCACAGGACTGCAAAGGCCAGAGCCATACGGGAACTGGCGACCCAGCCACAGCCCTGCTACTGGACGTTTGGTTCTGAAAAGGAAAGAATGAATGAACCAGCGAATGAAGCTCAGAGTAACTCAGAGCATGAGCCCTCTAGGTCTAGGCCTCACTGCCTGGCTTTGAATCCCAGCTCTACCTCTGATAGGCTGTGTATCCTGAGCTAAGTTACTAACCTCTCTGAGCCTCACCTTCTCAACCCCATATGCCTTATCTCACATATTCAAAGCAGCTAAGCAGCCCCCTGTCCTCGCTCTGTCAGCACAGCCTCCTCCTTTGGCCTCCTAGAGAGTCCCCCATGCCCTAACAGACCTTGTCCAGGGATCCTACCCCACCCCAACCTACCCTCACACTTGAGCTGCCCCAAAGGGCCAGGCCACCTCCCTACAGGCTCAGAGCTCCAGACAGGATCCGAAGTGCACTACACTCCTTCTCCACCAGGTGGCGCTTGATGTCCACAGCCCATTTATTTGTTAAACAAATAAATATTCAATGGCTGCCCCTGTTGTGCCAGGCCCTGGGCCCAAAGATGGGTACATGGAGATAAGGCACTCGGGGTTTAGTGCGAAGGACATAAACGAGAAACGAAGGATTCCCTTAAAAGGTGAGAATTGCTGCTGAAGTCAAGGCCCGAATCCCAGAGTTCTAGGTGGGACAGACACTGGCCCCTCCCTTCCTGCAGATGCAGGAAAGTGGCAGACCGGTGGCCCAGGGGTGCTGGCCCTGCACCTCCTTCTCAGCCTGCTTAGCCTCTGTCCCCCTTGAATTCTGGGAGAAGGATGAATGGAGCCCTTGAAAACAGGATGGCTGGCCTGTCCCCAAATGGATCCTCAGTTATGGGGGTGTTGGGGGACCTCAGTCTTAAGTCATTTGGCCCTTCCCCTCCACAACCCCACCCCACCCTAGTCCCACCCAAAATGTGACTTTTTTTGTTTGAGGTGGTCCTCCACTGAGCTCCATCCCAGCCCTTTTTATTTTTTATTTTGAGACAGGGTCTTCCTGTTACCAAAAGCTCTGTCCTTGTCTCCAGATGCCAACCTAATAAGGAGGGCACAGTTTTGAGAAAAAGGAAAGAGAATTTTATTGCTTTGGTAGCAAAGGAGAAACACAAGGGGACTCCTGTCCCAGGGGCTGTGATTCTGCCCATCAGAGGGGACTAGGGGCCTTTAAAGAGGTGATTCCAAGGCTCTATTCCACGTGTTCTCTGTTGGAGTTGTAACTTTTTTAACTTGTTAATTTGGGAGACAGTCATTTCTGAGATCTTCTGGTGCCTTCCCCACAGTCTGAACCACTTTGTTCTGTGGTGGGTCTGTGCTCAGGATAACTCTGCCTAGGATGGGCAAGGAAGGTAACCGTGTTTCCCTGAGATTAGGAAGGAGCAGGGAGAGAAGAGAAAGAAATATGTCCATTTAAGCTGCCGCGGCAGAGCAGCAAGGGCTATTTTCAGCCCATAAAGTGGACCACCATTACACTACTCAGCTGCCCAGGCTGGCCATGAACTTGCAATCCTCCTGCCTCAGACACTGAGTATCTGGGACTGCAAGTGTGTGCACGCCCTGTTCCCAGCACAGGTGACTGATTATTTGAAAGACCTCCCTGTCACCCAGTCAGGCTGCCCTCCATGATGCCCTTAGGGGATTGAGGTCTGAGTGGAGACAGGGTTCAGCCCCTCCAGGCCTTGGAGCAGGGGCTGCGGAGCGTGGCCAACTGTCACAGACATCTGGGGTTCTGGGTAAGTAGACAGATTTGGGGCCCAGCTTTGGACCCACTGATTCAAGAGTCTTTCTGGCTGGGG